AGATGGAGTTTCACTATGTTAGCCAGGATGGTCTCAATCTCCTGACCTCATGATCTGCCCGCCTCAGCCTCCCAAAGTGCTGGGACATGAACTCTTTGCCCATGCCTATGTCCTGAATGGTATTGCCTAGGTTTTCTTCTAGGGTTTTATGGTTTTAGGTCTTCGATTTAAATCTTTAATCCATCTTGAGTTTTGTATAACATGTAAGGAAGTGGTCCAATTTCAGTTGTCTACACATGGCTAGCCAGTTTTCCCAACACTATTTTTTAAATAGGGAATTGTTTCCCCATTGCTTATTTTTGTAAAGTTTGTCAAAGATCAGATGGCTATAGATGTGTAGTGTTATTTCTGAGGCCACTGCTCTATTTCATTGGTCTATATTTCTGTTTTGGTACCAGTACTACACTGTTTTGGTTACTGTAGCCTTCTAATATAGTTCAAAGTCAGGTAGTATGATGCCTGTAGCTTTGTTCGTTTTGCTTAGGATTGTCTTGGCTCTATGGGCTCTTTTTTGGTTTCATACGAAATTTGAAGTAGTTTTTTCTAATTCTGTGAAGAAAGTCAGTGGTAGCTTGATGTGAATAGCATTGAATCTATAAATTTCTTTGGGCAGTAAGGCTGTTTTCACGATATTGATTCTTCCTATCCATGAGCATGGAATGGTTTTCCATTTGTTTCTATCCTCTCTTATTTCCTTGATCAGTGGTTTGTAGTTCTCCTTCAAGAGGTCCTTCACATCCCTTGTAAGCTGTATTCCTAGGCATTTTATTCTCTTTGTAGCTACTGTAAATGGGAGTTCAGTCATGATTTGGCTCTGTTTGTCTATTACTGGTGTATAAGAATGCTTGTGATTTTTGCACATTGATTTTGTATCCTGAGACTTTGCTGAAGTTGCTTATCAACTTAAGGAGTTTTGGGACTGAAAAGATGGGGTTTTCTAAATATACACTCATGTCATCTGCAAACAGAGATAATTTGACCTCCTCGCTTCCTATTTGAATACCCTTTATTTCATTCTCTTGCCTAATTGCCCTGGCCAGAACTTCCAATACTATGTTGAATAGGAGTGGAACTCACTGGTTTTTTTCATTGCTCTTTCTTACCTGATTATTAGTATGATGATAAGTGCCAATGATTATTTTCTAACTACATTTTTTTATACTAATAATTTTTAATTCTACTCTAAAATAACTGTTTGCCTTCTCCCTTTTATATCCATTTATTTACATCAGGATAGGCTCAAAGATTTCTATTTTACTTAAAAGGTTATTATCAGTGACAATCTTCACTTGGTGCTCAAATTGTTCCATATTTGGCCAGTGGGAGTCCTTCAACATTTTTTTGGTGTCCTTATCAGTCTTTGAACACTTCCTTACTTTCTGACTGATACGATTTGGCTCTGTGTCCCCACCCAAATCTCATGTTGAATTGTAACCCCCATGTGTCAACGGAGAAACCTGTAATCTCCACGTGTTGAGAGAGAGAGAGGTGATTGGATCATGGCAGTGGTTTCCCCCATGCTGTTCTCGTGATAGTTCTCCCGATAGTGAGTTTTCACGAGATCTGATGGTTTTATAACCCAGTTTTCTCTGCTCTTGCTTGCCCCTCTCCTGCAGCCTTGTGAAGTAGGTGCCTGCTTCCCCTTCTGTCATAATTGTAAGTATTCTGAGGTCTCTCTTGCCATGCAGAACTGTGAGTCAATTTAACCTCCTTTGTTTATAAATTAGCCAGTCTTAGGTAGTATCTTTATAACAGTGTAAAAATGGACTAATACAGTGACAAATAAGATGTTGCAAGCCTATCTTGTATTTTCCCTGCTTCATCCCTGAAATTCAAGTTCTTTTAGTCAAAAATGCTATTTAGAAACCAAGATCTGGGCTCTAGGAGTGCTAGAAGCTATTAAGTGTCATTATTAACATGTCCTCTCAATGGATAATCTAGTGTATGCCTATGTATGTATGTGTGTATTCATGTTCACATATGTATACATGTATCACCTACATACATATATTTATCTATATACACATATATTGAAAAGCACAAATTTATGCCAATACCAGTCCAGTATCATCGGTTAATTTTTACTTACCCCCTTTCCTATTAACCTCAATTTAAGTACCTATTTGATTCTTCATCCATGATGTAATAGATTTCCTATCATAGCCAACCCTCTGCATGGAAATTCTTCTTACTCCTTTCAGGCTCTGATACCTTATGCAAAGTCACCATTGTTTCCCCAAATTTTCAACCCATACACACACAAGACACATACACCACATGGGCACCTACCTTACTGAGAGGTGACAATGGGCTAGCAGCCCTCACTCTCAGTGCCTCCTCAGCCTCCGGCCTGGGCATCCACTCTGGCGGTGTTTGAGGAGCCCTTCAGCCCACAGCGGCACCGTGGGAGCCCCTCTCTGGGCTGGCTGAGGCTGGAGCTACCTCCCTCTGCTTGCCAGGAGGCGTGGAGGGAGAGGTGCGGGCAGGAACCGGGGTTGCTCGCAGGCCAGTGTGAGTTCTGGCAGGCGTGGGCGCAGGCTTCGCCGGCCGCACACAAAGCGGCCTGCAGGCCCAGAGCAGTGAGTGGCTTTGCACTTGGGCCAGCAGCTGCGGAGGTTGCACGGGGTCCCCCAGCAGTGCCGGCCTGCCAGCGCGGCACTCAAATTCTCCCTGGGCCTTAGCTGCTTCCCCGAGGGGCAGGGCTCCGGACCTGCAGCCTGCCATGTCTGAGCTCCCCCCATGCAGTGGGCTCCAGTGGCCCGAGCCTCCTCCACTGGTGCCGCACCCTGCTCCGTGGAACCCGGTACCATCCACAGCCCAACGGCTGAGGAGTGCAGTGGTGGCTCAGGACTGGCAGGCAGCTCTGCCTGCAGCCCTGGTGCAGGATCCCCTGGGTGAAGCCAGCTGGGCTCCTGAACTCGGTGGGGACTTGGAGAACTTTTATATCTAGCAGGAGGATCCTATGTGCACCAATCAGCACTCTGTATCTAGCTAACCTAGTGGAGACTTGGAGGACTAGCCCTCTGTGACTCTGTGTCTAGATCAAGGATTGTAAATGCACCAATCAGTACTCTGTGTCTAGCTCAGGGTTTGTGAATACACCAATCAGCACTCTGTGTCTAGTTCAAGGTTTGTAAATACAGCAATTGGTACTCGGTATCTTGCTAACTCTGTATCTAGCTAACTAGCACTCTGTTACTCTGTGTCTAGCTCAAGGATTGTAAATGCACCAATCAGCACTCTGTCAAAACGGACCAATCAGCCCTCTGTAAAATAGACCAATCAGCTCTCTGTAAAATGGACCAATCAGCAGGATGTGGGTGGGGCCAGATAAGGGAATAAAAGCAGGCTGCCTTAGCTACCCAGCAGGAAGTCCCTGGGGTGTTCATCCGCACTGTGAACGCTTTGTTCTTTTGCTGTTTGCTGCTGCTAACCGTTTGGGTTCACGCTGCTCTTATGAGTTGTAACACTCACCACAAAGGTCTGCAGCTTCGCTCCTGACAGTGAGACCACGAACCCACCAGAAGAAAGAAGCTCGGGACACATCTGAACATCTGAAGGAACAAATTCCAGACACATCAACTGTAGCACTCACTGCCATGGTCTGCAGCTTCCTTCTTGAAGTCAGAGAGACCAAGAACCCACCAATTCCGGACACATTACTCTGACCCATCAAATGGATTTGGGGACTAAATTATTCAGGAAGAATAAAAGGAAGGAGGAAATGAAGGAAGGCTGTTATTATAAATGCATATGCCCGTGGGCTGCATAAAGCAAAAATTGAGGAATATTTAACCAAAGGCACTTCAGTTATTTTTTATTCTCATAAGCGAATGAGGACAGGTAGAAGCAGAGAGCTTTGGCTATTGTTTGTCAGCGTTTACTCGTAGTTCAGTAGCTTGTGTTGTGTCTAAGTAGTCCACCCTCCCCTGTGGAAGTGGGGGTGTGGATGAGGGGAGAAAACTGGAGAGAGAATTCCAACATAGTACATTCAGTAGCATGTTTACCACAGTTTTTTTGGTTGTCCACGGGCTTAAATCTGATGTATGTAGAGGAATATTTTTGCTCTAATCTATGAATTAACTTTGGGTTTAAGGGTCAGAACTTCACTGGCCTTTGTTTCTTAACTCAATTTTTTTATATTTCTTCCACTGAAAAAATGCAGTCAGATGTATTAAGTATATCAGATTTGTGGAATGGAGATGTATGATACAGATCTTGCTAACTATAGTAATAGTTCAAACAACAAAAATAGTAAATTTTTTTTTTTTTTTTGCCTAAAATCGTGACTGAATGTTTGTGGATTTCAAATTGATTATACCTCATCTTTCTATTTTACTTTAGAAAGGGATATATGTATATAAAGTACAAAGAGAGTATATCACCTATAATTCCACTTCCCTGAAGGTCTTTAAAAACCTTTTGATTAATATCTTTTCTATATTACGCCAACATACACATACATTTAAGGTTTTTAATGAAATTTTGATCTCGTGTGTATTGTTCAACAAATTCTTTTTAATTTAGCAACATAGTATGTCACCAAATATTAATTTACAAAAGGTTTTTTGTTGGCCTAAAATTCCGTTTTATACATTTGTCATTATTTAACTAAATGACTTTTGGGGGCATTTATATCATTCATTTCATTTTTATGAATGTGTTGCCATAAATATCTTAGTAAAATTTTTCTGTACCTTCTTTCCAATAACCTCTTAAAACTTTGGTCAAGATAAAAATTTTAAATTCAAATTTCCCTCAGAAAATTTGAAATAACTCCATTTGCCTCATGAGAGTATCCATGCATCCCTTCCTTTACTACAGGATCTTGATAATACACAATCTTTAAAATTTTTGAGTTATCTTTACCAAATTGATAAATGAAAGTGGCATACCATTTCAATATGCATTTTTATTATAAGAGCCACTAAATAGTCTTTCAAATATTTAGTGACTATGTTTCTTCCTCTGGAAATTACTTATGTATATTAATTCACTAGGTACTGTTAAAGGCCTGAGTAACCAAAGACTACCAAGCAGAAATCTGAAGCCGAAGGAATCAGCTTTACTGACTTGATGCAGGAAGGGAGGGCACTCCAGAGGAACGACAGAATGTCACATGATGAGAGAGAGCAAAGGAAGCATCGGTAAGGTTTTGGTTCTTGTTGAATGACTGCGGAATGTTTAAGGGAAAAGGGTATTAATTCTGGATTTATTGCTGCTTCTAGACAAAACTTAAAGGATTCAAGTTTAACTAGGGATTGGGTGCTGTCATGAGGTGAAAGCATTTTAGCAATCAGGTGTTCCTAGTAACAGACATGAAAAGCAAAGAACTTCTGCGGGCATCGTTGGCAAACAAACAGAAGTCACAAAAAAAAGAATTTGCTATGGTATTTTACAGTATGGTCGTGGGGAAATAATAATTTCCACTAATTTAGATGCTAGCTTTTTCTGTGTTCAACCTTTCGTCCAGCCTGATTAATGGCAAAGCGGCCTTTTCCTTTTCCAATTACAGTTGGTATTTATTTTTGCAGTCCCTGACAGAGGTTTATACTTGATAGAACACAGTTAAGCAAAGTTTAGGCCATGTACATTATTGGATAAAGACACAGAATTTTCTATTACACATTCTTAAATTAGAGGTTTGGCATGTTCTTTTATTGAATAACTTTAGACAAGGTATTTAATTACTTTGTTCTTTTTTGTATCTGTTAAAAGGGGCTAGTAACAATAATTTAATATCTACCTTATAGGACAATTGAGAAAATTAAATGTAATTATTTATATAAAGCACTTATCAAAACGTCTAACTTGATGTAACTGCTTAAAATAGAATAGCAACTAAAATAGTGTTTTCAATAAGAGTTTTTCATGAACTAATTGGTGGAAACAATGACAAACACATGATTATGTGTGTACATATGGGAATTAAAGGACATCAGACTATGTGGAGGTTGTTAACACATTTTATAATTTGACAAATTGTAGGGGGGTGGTTAATGAATCTTAGTATTTAGAAGGGAAAGAGGAGCAAAATTTTGTAGATTTAGATGATATTATAGGCAGCATTCTCCTATTACCCTAGCATAGAAAAACTGAAGAGGTCAGTGAGAAATAGGTCTAGATACTGCAGGCTACTAGGCTGTGGCCTCTATTACAGAAACAAGAATATGCCCATTTCCAGAATTTTTCTGACAAAAGATTAAAGTTCTGTCTTCATGATTCTTGATGTAACTGAATTAACTTGAAGGGCATGTTCAAAATGAAGAGAAGTGAATTGTTTCACAGAACAGATTAATAAAATGAGAGGCAGAGATGTACAAGACATGAAGAAAGCATGATGGGGGGGGCAGGTGTTCAAATGCTTATCATCAGATTAGAAAAAAAGCATCTCAAAAAGAGAACCATCATTCCATCATGAAAGGGAGGGGAAATAAGATGCCAAGTATATGTGGATTCAAAGCAAAAGTAATGAAGGCAGATGGATTAGAACTAAATACAATGAAATAGTTGATGTATATGATACATGCACTTTCGTTGTTCTACAAATGCCAGTAGGTGTGTCCACTGTTTGGACTGTGATGTACGATGGTCTGGGATGGTGAAGAAATTGTGTACTCTGCGCTGGGAATAATGTTACTAAATCCAGTCAATAAAATCAATGAGAGACCACTTGAGGAGGTTCTAGACATCCCGCTATCCTTACAGCAGCTATTTGAGCTGTCACTCAAACACATGACCATGGGGAGGCAGTGGCCTTGATGTCTTAAACACTAGAAATCACTGAGGAAACCAGCTTGATGGTTTCATGCAGCCAGAAGGACACACAGTATTGCTACCAGCTGAGCAGAACTTAGAAAATGTTAGAGAAACTGTGTATGAAGGAGAGGAAATGAATATAATTTAGATGTTTTTGCTGCTTTCTTCAATAATTAGACAATCATAGGAAAAAATACTTAAATGAAAACTATGCCATCAATGTGTGATATCAGTTCAACTTGACCCTGAGCCAACTAGGTTATATAAAAAAGACTATTTTTTTAAATGGAATAGGTCAACTTTGAGTCATTAGTGGAACTAAATTTAGCTAAATCCAGACCACTTAACACCTGCTTTAATAATGCTGTTCTTATATTATTGTAGGAGAAGGGCTGTGTTTTGGTTTTTAGCTCTAGCTTTATCTGCTTTGTCTTATTTGACTTCTGTTTTTTGCTACAGCTAGGCATAGTTTGAAAGGAAGAAAAACTAGTCTATATTAAGTATGTCAGTAGAGGGGATGATAGCAATTCAGAATTAATCTCCTTGTAAAAATTCTGGAACTGCCCTTTTGTTGTGACCAATTGTAACATTATACTATTTTGAGCATTTTTCCTCTGCTCCATCTGACCTTTTAGATACTTACACAAGCGTTAATTGCCTTAAGCAGTCATGGAACAACTGTTCAACTCCTAATTACAAATTTCTGGAAGTTTTCACCATGCTATTTTCAACTTATTTGTAGACCAGTGCTAGGAAAACATTCCTGGAGATTGTCCAGGGAATATATGTATAGGTGTGCATGTGTGTCTATGTATGCATATATGTTGTGTACACATATATTTAAAAGTTTAGCATAAATTTGGAATAAATAAAATTCATTAACTTTCACTGTCAAAATTAACTGTCAAACCAATTAAAATTATGTTAGAAAATGTTCTAATCTCAGAAAAATTAATTTTAGCTCAACAATGTTATGATATATTTAAACATCCAAAACTTATTTGTTAGATTGTTGCAAGATGCTGCTGTGACCTAAACCAAGTCATAATTTTAAAAATGTTATCTTTCTTAATGTAAAATCACAAATATTCATTTAGGTGTGAGACATCTGATTTAATTTTGGAAATCTTGTAGCTTAATAAAAAAGATATTCAAATTATGCTGAACTTTTCAGATCAAAAAAATGATGAGAGTTTTTTTCTTAAAAAAATATTTCTTAGGAAAAAAAGGAGTCATTTTGTCCTTTGAAATAATATAGAAGAAACGAAAACAAAAATACGGTGCAATAAGTGAAAATATATTTAGCTCATTGACTCCGCTTTAATAAGTTTGCACATCAGGTTATTCAGATTATACATAAAAAATTTTCCTAACTTTCATTACAGGTTAACGAGTAAGAAGAAATTCCTCCATAGACACTTAGCAGCTTCATGCTTGTAATAATTAATTGTTAGTTTATTTTATCTGTATTCAATAACTTTTTAAAGCATGATAAAACAGAATTTAAAACTCTAAGAAAGCTATTGGCAAATAAACATTTATTTTTTAAAAATTTATAACAAAGTTAATACAAAAATATTTTTATTATTTTCTTTTTGTTTTGTTTTGTTTTAATTTTTTTTTCAATTTATTTATTATTATTATACTTTAAGTTGTAGGGTACATGTGCATAACGTGCAGGTTTGTTACATATGTATACTTGTGCCATGTTGGTGTGCTGCACCCATCAACTCATCATTTACATCAGGTATAACTCCCAATGCAATCCCTCCCCCCTACCCCCTCCCCATGATAGGCCCCGGTGTGTGATGTTCCCCTTCCTGAGTCCAAGTGATCTCATTGTTCAGTTTCCACCTATGAGTGAGAACATGTGGTGTTTGGTTTTCTGTTCTTGTGATAGTTTGCTAAGAATGATGGTTTCCAGCTGCATCCATGTCCCTACAAAGGACACAAACTCATCCTTTTTGATGGCTGCATAGTATTCCATGGTGTATATGTGCCACATTTTCTTAATCCAATCTGTCACTGATGGACATTTGGGTTGGTTCCAAGTCTTTGCTATTGTGAATAGTGCTGCAATAAACATACATGTGCATGTGTCTTTATAGCAGCATGATTTATAATCCTTTGGGTATATACCCAGTAATGGGATGGCTGGGTCATATGGTACATCTAGTTCTAGATCCTTGAGGAATCGCCATACTGTTTTCCATAATGGTTGAACTAGTTTACAATCCCATCAACAGTGTAAAAGTGTTCCTATTTCTCCACATCCTCTCCAGCACCTGTTGTTTCCTGACTTTTTAATGATCGCCATTCTAACTGGTGTGAGATGGTATCTCATTGTGGTTTTGATTTGCATTTCTCTGATGGCCAGTGATGATGAGCATTTTTTTCATGTGTCTGTTGGCTGAATGCATGTCTTCTTTTGAGAAATGTCTGTTCATATCCTTTGCCCACTTTTTGATGGGGTTGTTTGTTTTTTTCTTGTAAATTTGTTTGAGTTCTTTGTAGGTTCTGGATATTAGCCCTTTGTCAGATGAGTAGATTGCAAAAATTTTCTCCCATTCTGTAGGTTGCCTGTTCACTCTGATGGTAGTTTCTTTTGCTGTACAGAAGCTCTTTAGTTTAATGAGATCCCATTTGTCAATTTTGGCTTTTGCTGCCGTTGCTTTTGGTGTTTTAGACATGAAGTCTTTGCCCATGCCTATGTCCTGAATGGTACTACCTAGGTTTTCCTCTAGGATTTTTATGGTATTAGGTCTAACATTTAAGTCTCTAATCCATCTTGAATTAATTTTCGTATAAGGAGTAAGGAAAGGATCCAGTTTCAGCTTTCTACTTATGGCTAGCCAATTTTCCCAGCACCATTTATTAAATAGGGAGTCCTTTCCCCATTTCTTGTTTCTCTCAGGTTTGTCAAAGATCAGATGGCTGTAGATGTGTGGTATTATTTCTGAGGACTCTGTTCTGTTCCATTGGTCTATATCTCTGTTTTGGTACCAGTACCATGCTGTTTTGGTTACTGTAGCCTTGTAGTATAGTTTGAAGTCAGGTAGCGTGATGCCTCCAGCTTTGTTCTTTTGACTTAGGATTGTCTTGGAGATGCGGGCTCTTTTTTGGTTCCATATGAACTTTAAAGCAGTTTTTTCCAATTCTGTGAAGAAACTCATTGGTAGCTTGATGGGGATGGCATTGAATCTATAAATTACCTTGGGCAGTATGGCCATTTTCACGATATTGATTCTTCCTATCCATGAGCATGGTATGTTCTTCCATTTGTTTGTGTCCTCTTTTATTTCACTGAGCAGTGGTTTGTAGTTCTCCTTGAAGAAGTCCTTTACATCCCTTGTCAGTTGGATTCCTAGGTATTTTATTCTCTTTGAAG